GGATGGGGTGGCACTGCCCCAGACAGACCCAGTGTGTAATCTGGGGGTCCTCCTAGACTCTCGGCTCCTGCTTGAAGAGCAGGTGGCAGCCGTGGCAAGGAGGGCCTTTGCACAACTTCTGGTTGTGCATCAGTTATGCCCTTTCCTGGATTGGGATGCTCTTTGAACAGTCACTCATGCCCTTGTTATCTCCCAGATAAACTACTGCAATGCGCTTTACATGGGGCTACCCTTCAAGAGTATCCGGAAGCTACAGCTAGCCCATGCGGGCTATTTTTGGAGCCCCAAGAAGGGCCCATGTAATGCCGTTGCTCCACGAGCTGCATTGGGTACCACTTTGCTTCTGGGTCCAATTCAAGGTGTTGGTTATCACCTTGAAAGTCCTACATGGCATAGGACCAGGTTACCTAACGGACCGCCTCTCCCCCATGACTTCAACCCGTCCCACCCGATCACACAGAGAGGGCATGCTTCGGAGCCCCTCAGTGAAAGAACTTTGACTGGCGGGGTCCAGAAGGCGGGCCTTCTTTGCGGTAGCCCCCGCTCTCTGGAACATTCTGCCCCCGGAGGTGCGATTGGCCCCCTCACTCCCGGCCTTCCGAAGGGCTTTGAAGACCTGGTTCTGTCACTTGGCCTGGGGTGGGGAGAGAATACTTCAAGCGTGGGGATGACTGGCCCCATAGAAGCCTGGTGTCTTCAGCCCCAGATTCTTAATCTTCTTGGACTCTCCTTTTCTGTTTTTTTAGTAATTTTTTTAAATTTTGATGTTTTATGTATTTATCTATATTTATGCTTTTAATGTTTTGTGTGAGTCGCCAGAGTCCCCCACTGGGGGGAGATGGGCAGGGGAAAAATTTAATAAATATTTTTTTTTAAAAAAACGCAACTCATTTTCACACCCAGAGGTCATAAAGGCAAATGTTCCTCATTAATTTAAATAAGATCCAGGGGTGCTAAAACTCTTAAATGGCTTGACTGGAGCCCAGGAAATCATGAAAGATAGAAGAAGTGTTCACACAGGTCAAAACCTTTTCTTCTAATATCCCAGGATCTAAGATGGAGAATGGTCTTAAGGAAGACAGATTCTGGCTGAATCTGAGGATTAGAGTTCACATTACGTGACCTACTAACCTTACACTGCCATGATTGAGGTGCTATAAAGCCCAACCTCACCACCCTTATTTCTGCACAAACAATGGTTGGATGACTGTGGAGGACACCATCGGGAACTAATAGGAATTCCATGAACCTGATTCAACTTTCCATGGTAAACAGATCTTCCCAGCATACACTGAGTGAAATCACTTATGAACATCACCAGGTACCTTAGCAAGTGAGGGAGCAGCTGCTCTTGCTGTTTGAGGATCCATCATTCCAAGATCATCTCTCTCTCCTTTGCTTTCCTCGGCTTCAGATTCTTCCCAAGATGGTAATAATACCAAGGCAGCAAGAAAAAGAAGGAGAAAGAGGAAGGAGTGAGTCTGTATTCTTCGCTTCTGTCCATATTCCTTGCTTATGGTTTGCCCATCATCTCCAACCCGGCATCCCCGGCAGGGCTCTCAATTAACGTCTCCAACCACCAGCACCCGCCTCTGACTGCCAGGAAGGGAACCGCTGAATCCAAACCGCCTCACTTACTGTTCTTGTTCTTCCAGCAATAAAAGGCAAAGGCAGCAAGCAGGATTATGAAAGGAACCACCAGCCATATGTATTTCCACATAGTATCAAAATCTTGGCTACAAACTGGTTCAACAAACAAAGAAAAATGGTTTAATATTTCCTGGGAGAAATTTTACCCAGTGCTCTCCTCTCTTGCTCACCATATCTTCGTCCAGCTGACTCACCTGTGACGTTCACCCCCTGGCTCCAAGAAGACGTGATCCATCGTCTGCCTCTCTTTTCTTCATAGCTGCAAGCAAATTCCCCACTATGGTTGGGTTTTGCATGCAGGATGCTCAGAGAGGCATTCTGAAGAGGATTTGTGGGTTTACCAGAACCCTCCAAAAGCCATTCATGGCTGGAGGTGATCTCCGCTCCATCCATGTAGAAATGGAACCTGTTTTCCACAAGGCCTCCTTCAGCCAAGCAAAAGAGGAGCAAACATTCACCTTCCTTCATTGTCTGGGGCAAAGGATCCACTTTCAGCAGCGGCGAAGGAGGGATATCTGCAAGAAAGATTCACATGAGAAGGGAGACCACCAAGGGACATCTTGTGTGATTAAGCAGTGAAGAGTTCTTGGTTCCTTCCTCCTTTAACAGGAAGTTAGTTCATGGTCCAGGATCTCTAATGAGAGCTTGCGGTATGAAAATGGTATCAGGTTTGCCCATTTTATGCTAAGGAACCTGAAAATTTCTTTTCTGAGTCAGAGGAGAAAATTTGTAGCTTAAAAAGATATTTCAAATGGATCATTTCTCTGTAATTTCCCAAGTCTGATCACCTGCATGGTTACAAACATTCATAGTAAAAATCCTTATGCTGTTTCAGACCTTTGGTGATTTTCTTGTTCAGAAAAGAAATGAATCTCACACATGGGAGCATCTGCCAGGCTATCCTGTGCAATCAGGGAGGTCACCCATGATGGCTTCAGAGGAGAGCTTTACGTCTCCCCAAAGTGCCTTGAAGGCAGACCCGGACCCCTGACCAATGACTCTGGATTTTAGTTTCATCTCTTTCCCCACAATCATAAGCTAAAATAAAACACCATTCTCTTGAGCCAAACTGCAGTCAGTGCCAAGAAATGTCTTGCATTCTGAACTTAGCGGCTTCCAAGACTATTTAGAATCTCCTAAAAATATACTTCCTTTTGGGTTCAAATGAGCACTCAATTTCTGCATCTTCTCCATAAAAGATGCAACCTCCTTGTGCCTCTTGGAAGACAGGGAGGTGGTGCTGCTTATGTGTTGGAAGAGGACTCAGGAGACCCAGGTACAAGGCCACCCCCAGCCAGAGTCAATCATGGGGGCCTTTGGGGTGAGTCTCTCTTTCTCAAGCCAGATCAACGCTTCAACGTCACCTCCTCCCACTTGTAGAAATCAAGGGTTAGGGTTAGGGGGAAGAACATCTGGATGAAAATAATGAAAGAGGCAGAGAGAAAAGAGAAGGACATTCATGCTCCTTTGCTTCAGGAGCTCTGGATCCCTGACTGCAACTAGATGGTTGAACAGCGGAGTCAATCCCAAAATTAGGGCAACATCTGCTTCGAAGGAGAGGTGTTTCCCCACATCTCCCTTGTTTTACGTATCTGAATGTTACAGAATTTAACGTTTTTATGAGGTGGAGCACTGATATTTCGGAGTATAGAAATGAAAATGGCAAACAAGGGAGGAGAATGAATTCTACTTCCACTTGGAGTGAAAATAAGAATAAAAATGCTTCTGCTTTTCACAAGGAAGGAATGAGCTTTGGGTCAAGAAAGAAACACTCCCTCCTTCACTCTCTTGCTGCACTTCAGCTCCTTGGGCTGCTAGAAAACCTCAGTGCTCAGCTTTGCTTC